ATCAGAGTGCTTTGCTGTATCAGCTATTTGCAGCTCGTGCCGAAATTCAAAGTCAAAACTGCAGCTATTTCAAGATAGCGCTAGCAGAAATGGCCTTGCTGAATTGATGTATTTGAAATGCTCGTATTGTGGTATCATAACTCCTCTGAATACAAGTACCAGACTAGGTGGCAAGGGTGGTGGGCCACATGAAGTGAACCGAAGGTCTGTGCTATCATCTCACCAATGGGGTCGTGCTGGCCTGGCAAAGTTTTGTGCTGGAATGGAACTTCCACCTCCAGTTACCAAGAAGGCCTATAATCAGCACATGAAGCAAGTTGAAAAATTAGCTGTGAGTAATGCTGAGACATTAATGTGTGAAGCAGCAGAAAGGCTAAGACAACTAGCTTCCCATGAAGATGAAGAATGCGTGGTGGAGATTGATGGCCAATCAGTGTGCAAAGTTGCTGTTTCAATAGATGGAACATGGCAGAAGAGAGGGCACAGCTCTAAGATTGGTGTAGTGTTTGCTGTTTCAGTTATGACAGGAGAAATTATTGACTATGAGGTGAAATCCCTCATCTGCAAGGAATGCTCATCTAAGGAACACACCGATAAAACATCAGCTGATTATCTTTCTTGGAAAGAGTCACATGCAAGCCATTGTGAAGTGAACCATGTGGGTTCCTCTGAAGAAATGGAGTCCTCAGGAGCAGTTAGCATCTTCAGTCGTAGCATTGAGAAGAGGAAGCTGATATATTCTACCTTTGTGGGAGATGGTGATAGCAGCTGTTTTGGTAGAGTCAATTCAAAAATGATTGAACTTTACGGAGACAAATATCCAGTGGTTAAGGAGGAATGTGTTGGCCATGTGCAGAAGAGATTAGGGACTGCCCTCAGAAATTACAAGAGAAATATAAAGATGGCTGGCCTAAAGATGTCGGATGGAGGAAAGGTTGATGGAAGGGGTCGACTCACTGACAATTTTGTGGACAGAATGCAAAAATATTATGGAAGAGCCATACGTGAAAATGCAGGTGATTTACACCAAATGAAGAACAGTGTATGGGCAATCTATCATCACATGATAAAAGATGATTCATGTACCCTAGAGGAGCAGCATAAGCTATGTCCCAAAGGTGAAGGCACCTGGTGCAAATTTTGGAAGGCTCCAGAAGAATATAAAGAGGACAACCGCCTTCCTTGTGTTTTTATTGATGAACTGAAGCCAATTTTCATTAGGCTTACTAATGATGATTTATTGAAGAGGTGTTTGCAGGGACAAACCCAGAATCGAAATGAGAGCATTAATGGACAGTTATGGTCAAGATGCCCCAAGAGCCGTTATTGTGGAAAGAGACGAGTTGTCATTGCAGTTTGTGAGACTGTTGGGGTGTTTAACACAGGAGCTGCAAGTAAAGCATCCCTTCTGGAATCCTGTGGAATCTCTCCTGGCAGGAATATGTTAAAAGCATTGAAGAAGGAGGACCAGGAAAGAATTGCCTCAGCTGCTCACAAGATCAGCTCAAAATATCGAAAGCGGCGACAGACCATTCGGTCTATGAAAAATTCAAAGGCTGACAAGTTGGCTTATCAGGCTGGAGCATTTGGCACAAGTTTCAAACCAGAGACAGATGGAAGAAAGAAAAAGAAAAATCCTCCTAAGAAAAAGAAGTCAACAGTAGCTTTGCCTGCTCCATCTTCATCAAGTGGACTTGACATTGTATTTGTTGTCCCGGATGTGGAATTTGTAGCTAAAGAAAGAACTGAGCAAAAGTAATCTATTCAAACCAGTCTGTGCCCTATTTGGTTGAGAAAACATTCACACATCAAATGTGGACATGCTAGACCACTTGTATCCATTAAGACTACGCTTAGTGTTTTGTTAGAATCATTTTAGTGCTCTATCATTATGTGTTGAACTTTGTCTTGCATTTTCTTCAATTAGCATTTCTTTACACACTGAGTACTAAAACAGGCATAGTTGGTTTGCTATTTACCTATATTATACAAAATTTCCAGGGCTTGTTCCTGGAGTGATGTTCTATGCAATGAATTATAATTTTTTGAATTTGTCGCTTTCGATCATTGTTGCTATGGAAACAAATATGCCAAGCCTTAAATGGCGAGGATTTTTAAGAAACAAAAAGTTAGTAATTCATTGCATAGAGCACTGTGTTTTGATAATTTCCAGCAATTTTTGAGTCAAATAGGTGAATATTCCTTGAGAAATACATGTCTTAAGGCACAACCTTCTCATTTGTTTATCGGAGTTGCTATGGAAACAACAGGTTGTTGCGACATAGA